GGAACAATATTGGTCTAGGTGTGGTAAATGAATGCAATATGACTCCATTAACCTCTTTCAACACTAGCCAAGTCACTTCTACTCAAACACAGAAACATTAGAGTGGACTGACCTCTTGCAGGTAGCAGGGGCAACAGCAGGAGGAGCAGCGGAAAGGCCTGATGAGATGGATGACCTCCCTGTCCATGTTGTCCTTTATTTTCATGTCGAAGCTGCGCAGAGAGCCGCAACAGTTCCTTTCGCAGCAGTCACTCTTCTCTTTGGCCTCGTAGATCTTTTGACCCAGACTGTTTTTGATTTCATACTGTCTGTTTTTCTCAAAACCGATGAATGCTGGGCGTGGTTGGGAAAAGAGAAGGGAAAACGGTGAGCAATGAAGTAAAGATAAGTAAGGAATTTCAAGGGCAGATATAATTTTTCTTCCATTCGTTTTCATCTTGAGAGGCTTTAAGCCAAACACACTGCTGCTTATGAGCTGCTGAAGGATTAAATATTCTGTGTTGTACAAGATGCGCGCCTCACCTTCGACTTTTTGATGGATCAGGATCTGGTCAATCTAAAACCGAAGGAGAGAAAGCAAAGTGAAAATAAAGCAACTCTGTGGCACATCCTGCAATCTGAAAGTCTCTTCCTTCTAAAAACAATTAAAAGCACGTATCAGGCATTTTCAATGCAAATGACCTTCCCATATAAAAATTCATTCTTTAAGCCATAGAGTATTTCAGCTCCATCAGACTCTGCTGGTTAAACAAACATACCTTCTTTCTCTTTGTCTGCAAAGCTAATCAAGCACTAATGTGTATATAATGCAAGCTTGGGAGGTGTTTCCTTTAATATTTGCACAAATAAATCCTATAGAGGGATTTTTAAAAGAAACATTTTTGAATGTGATCTTTAACTGGGTTCAAATGGCCAACGGGACTGACCTCGCGTATTATTTTAAAAAGGAAACTGACTTTGGTGTCACACATTTCCAAATCCGAGATGAGATTAATGATCACCAAATAGTGCAGCAAACTACTGTACAAGTATTTCAATGGTGAGCCAATAACAGAACTACAAAATGCTACTTTTTACCCACAACAGTCTTAAACATGTGACCTTTTCTCTTACTAAGAGGTCTATGAGAGATCCAGGAACTGTATCTGTTCACCCCCATGGCCAGCAGCTTTTCAGGTTCATACCAAACCCAAATAAAATGGGAGGATTAAATGAGTCATCCGGCCCCCTTCCTTCCGGTTAGCGTACAGCCTCAGGGTGCTGGAC